TTTTTTTTTTTTTTTTTTAGACATTTATATCTATGGTGCATAATATCTGTTAATTTTTGTTACGATTATATAAAGTCATCTTCAATAAATAATTCAACAACTTCACTTATACTTTGAGGATTATTTGGAAATACTTTGACACCTGGATTACCAATAAACACTTGTAAGTTTCTTTTTGGGTCATTTTTTGTCTACTAAACGTTTGGTTTTTCTACAGCAGAACTACATTCGCTGTCATAAATTATATTTCTGCCATAAATGTCATAAATTATATTTCATAAATTATATAACGCTGTCTGTGTCTATATTTCTTCATTTACATTGCATCAATGCATCATTATCTGTGTCGCTGTCAGTAAAAAAACCACCAGATTCACTTTTGACCTCGGAAATTTCATCAGCACGTATTTCTTCATTTTCCAGAATAATTTTCAAATAATTTTATTTTAAATTAGTAAATTATTTTCAACGTGAAAGCACTAAAATAGCAGAATACAAGTACATATACTAATCGCGACAAAGTAATGAGCGCTTGAAATTTTTACCAACTACGTAAAAGAATAAGGAAATTGCGCAGTCGATATTGGTATAATTGGGATAATTATCTCCCCTCCCCCAAAAAAGAAAAAAGAAAAAAAGAGACTAATTCATAACTAATGCATAACTATCTTCAAGCAAAATATAATGAGACACGATGTGCTAACGTTGCATTATTCAAAAATGAAATTTTCAAAGACGTAAAGTTCACATCAATGACAACCACGTTCTGTACTTGCAAAGACGTAAATTTACGGCAGCGGCCGAGAGGAATAGAATTTGAAAAGACGTGAATTCACGTCAGCAATCGCGAATGTGTTAACACTAGAACAATCGCATCAAAATATTCTACATATCAAAATTTAGTAAATCATTAATATAATTTAAATGATAATTCACAATTATTTATAATTATTTTAATACTAATTTTGACAAGAATGTCCGTATATTTCAAACTTGTTGTTGTTGTTAGTTGTTAAAATTTATGAGAAATTAAAGTCTGAAATCAGCCACATTGACAGATTCGATTGTATAAAATAGTTCTAATAAATAATATTTCTTACATAATAAATTCTCAAATTCTAACAAATCATATTTCTTACATATAACTTGTTAATTTAAATATCCCGCTTGGAAAGTGTTAAGATATGTTTACAGTAAAAATCATGTCGACACTTTATGATATTTTTGTTTATGGTTGTTTTCACTTAATTTTAATGCCGTGACGTCTAGTTACTTTTACACACGGCGTCAAGCCAGTTGTAGCAGAAATCATAAATCTTGAAAATGAAAAAATTCAATGCCACGACATCCATAAATCTGGTTTTTACGATGACAAAGATCATGATGGTGTCGTGACAGTAAAAGTCATATGAAAACGGATCTTTAGTAGAGATCGTGTATTATGTACTAGGTTGGCCAAAAAGTAACTGTGCTTTTTCATTTGTAAATGAAAAGCGAATTTTTTTATGAACAAACAAAAGCTTTATTAAGACAATATATCGTCCATTTTGTTCGATTATCTTTTGCCATCTTTCAGGCAACTTTATGATTCCGCGTTCAAAAAAGTATCTTATCTTTATCTATTACGTTATCTTCTTTTCGAGAAAAAGTCTCAAGAACAATTTAACCTTTTGCACTCCGTTGTCGCCACTGCGGCGATATTGTAAGATAAGTTGATAACTCCGTTGTCGCTACAGCGGCGACGCAGCGAGCCGGCATCTAGAAACAACTTTGTATTTTTATACATGTAGGGAGATATTTCGGCATATGCTTATTACAATCAATCTGGCTGCGTTTGAGATTGTGTCTGAGATTTGCTCCACAGACAGAAGAAAGGTGAAAGACATGAAACTAGTGAATACTGCGATACATATGTCCTGATAAGCCAAAAATGCACCTTGGCGATTGTTTTCCAAGATACTATAAAATGAAGAAATTCAAAGAATAATTTTCATTTTCCGTATTGTTATATTTTTTATATTGTAACTGTATTAATAAAATATAACTTTTTTTTTTAAAATGACAAAGCAGGATCTTCAATCTTTCACAGAGGGGCTGGTATAGCTCATAGTAAAAATGACTCGGAATTGCTGAGAGGTCATATTAAAAATTGCTCGGAGTGCAAACAGTTAATATCCTCATTAGTAGTGGAATTTAGCAAAGCTGAGCAAAAAGTGCATTGACACTGACGTTAGTTTGAAAACTTCTTCACTATAGACGGCTAATTTTTTTATGAACTTACACGGCAATTTTTTTCCTTTTCGAAACAGCAAAATATGACGAAAATATTCCTTTTTGATTTTCCATTTTGAAATCGACGCCAAATAAACAATTGTTAACGAAATCGTGCAATTTTTTTTTCTAAAGTAAACTTGAACAATCAGGTGATTATACAATGAATCTGCAGTTTAAAATGAAG